CCGAAGAAGAGGAACGAAGACGAGATGAGGAGCATCGCCGAGCTTTAGAAGCAGAAGCACGCCGTCACGCTGAGGAAGAAGATGAAGCGTTACGTTTGGCGGAACGAGAAGAAGATGAGCGCCGACGTGCAACAGAGGAACATCGTCGTCGCTTAGAACAATTAGATGAAGAACGCCGACGCGTCGAAGCAGAGCAAGGCGAAAGTATCAATTCAGTACAGCCAACCGAAGACGATGATGCGGATGAACTAGAAGAGGAGGAGCGCCGTAGGGCTGAACAAGAGGAAGAAGAAGAGCGGCATCGCGCTGAACAAGAAGAACAGGAGCGCCTTCGTGCCGAGCAAGAGGAAGAAGAAGAGCGACGTCGCGCTGAACAAGAAGAACAGGAGCGCCGCCGTGTCGAGCAAGAGGAAGAAGAGCGACGTCGCGCTGAGTATGAAGAGCGTCGTCGTGCTGAAGATGAACGTCTACGTGCTGAAGAAGAAGAAGCTGAACGCCGTCGCGCTGAATACGAAAGTGGCCGAGGTAGCGTCTATGCGCCGACTATAGTCCGCAAATCAATAATTTTTTATTACTCATTGAAGCAAGCTTTTCTAGACCTAAGTGCTTTACATATTACTGAAAAAGAGCAACGCTTAGCGGCCTAGCTCCAATATTGACTGCAATGCGGCTGTAAAAAACGCTTTATTAACATAGAACGCGCTAACTAATTACCGGGTTATTTTGTATTTGTAGCTAAAAGCTAACAAAACTAATTTATAAACTAACCGTTATAAATAATTTAAAAAGCTGATATTGCTTTTTACAAGTGATAACAACAAAGGGGCTTAGGATACTAACGGTCGTTAACTTAAACTTTTTTCCTCTTTCTATTAGACGACTTTTTGTAACTGGAGCTTTCACTCACAAATATAGCTTTCGCTAGAGCTTTCATCAGTTACCTTAGCGCAAGTTTCAAACTGGGTCTGTTGTCCCTTCAAAAATAGAGCTTTCGTGTGCCGAGCTTTTTAAAGCTATCTTTATGTGGACGTGAGAGGAGTAAATGGTCTCTTACCCATACTTCATTCAATCAATAATGGTCACCTACGGATATTACTCTGTGCACGTCTATATAAAGTGTACAAAAAGCTCACTCAAGCCGATGCCAGTTTGAGTCGTTTCTTCTTCGCTTACTAAAGCTCATTCAAAGCTTGCAGGTGTAATAATCTGTCGAAAACCTAACCCTTAACAAGATCGCTGGTACAATGCCAATGCAATGGGAACTTTGGCTTCTCTTAAAGCTCAACAAAGTTTATTTTGAAGCTGTACCTAACTTTTACTTATTTTGTTTTGGTTATTATTGTACTTATTAGTTATTTAATTTATTCTTTCGTTATTATTTTACTAAGCTCGATATTCATCTAAATCAATACACATACTTACACTAAAACATTAC